ACCACACGAGAACAGTGACCTTAGGAATGACAAGAAAGGTAAAAGGAGGTCACTTGACATTTGCACTCTAAACTGATAGCGTGATGAGTAAGGGAGACTACTGTTCCACACTTCTCATTATATTAAGTTGAATTTTTCGTTACTTATGTTTTCTGTTATGACAATGCTTTAATGTCTAATTTGTTCAAACGGCTTGGATTCGTTCCAATTTATTCTTATGCTACTAATTTCTGTAGTACACCTTAATATGTAATGCGCTGACAGTGATAATAGTAAAAGGTGGTCTTGTTTGAATTGACATAGCGCACAATTTAGTGTTGGACTTTCGGGCGGCGGGCATGCCCGATGCCCGAAAATTTTCGGGCACGGCGGGCAGGCCCGTCTCGCCGCCCGAAAATGATTTTCTTCGGGCACGGACTCGAGTAGCCCAAAAATGGTAAGCCCCCGACAGCCCGCCGCCGTGGAGAAGCCTTCCCCCGCCGTTCGCCGGATTTTTTTTGAATTTTTCGGCAAATACCCGAAGCTGCCCGAACTGCCCGAATTACCCGAATTTTTTGTGACCGTTGCCCGAATTTTGGTGACCGTTGCCCGAATTTCGCCCCATGCCCGAAAAATGCCCGATTTTTTTTTACCGTTAGCCCGAAATGCCCGAATTTTGAAAAAAAAACGGTATTTTGCCCGAACCCGAATTTTGTCCGAATTTTTGAACCAAACGGTCGGATTTTTATCCGTTGCCCGAACTGCCCGAATTTTGCCCGCCCTGCCCGAAATTTTTGTAGCCGTTGGACCCGAATTTTTGGGGGAAAATTTTTTTTTTTCAACCCAAAAATTTTCCTATAAATACCCCCCTCCCCCCAACCATTTTCCTCACCCCAAAACTCTCATTCTCTCTCAATTTCTCTTAATCTCTCTCAATTTCTCTTAATCTCTCTCAATTTCTCTTAATCTCTCTCAATTTCTCTTAATCTCTCTCAATTTCTCTTAATCTCTCTCAATTTCTCTTAATCTCTCTCAATTTCTCTTAATCTCTCTCAATTTCTCTTAATCTCTCTCAATTTCTCTTAATCTCTCTCAATTTCTCTTAATCTCTCTCAAATCTCTCTTAATCTCGCTTAAATCTCTCTCGAATCTCGATCTCTCTTAAGCTCTCTCAAAGCGCTCTCAATCTCTCTTATTTTTCATAATGGCTTCTTCTGGTTATGGTGGTGGTGGTGATATTCCTATTGATGCCCAATTCAACATCGAAGAAGGGCAATTTCCTAATGTTTTTCAATCGCAGGAATCGCAAACTATGGAAAGAGATGCTGATCAAACTGTAAATCCGACCCCTGGTGGACGTACTAGAGGTCGGGGACGCAACGGTGGTGGCACAAGGGGCCGTGGAGGCGCGGCAAGCGGTAGGGCTAGTGCAAGTGTTGCAAGTTCTAAGAAGAAATGCAAGCGCACCTCAGCAGTTTGGGAGCACTTCAACACATTCGAGGACGTCGACAATAACGGTAACATTAAATACGTAGCTCAATGTAAATATTGTGGTGAGAAATTACAAGGTAACACTATTCACGGCACTACACACTTAAGAAGGCACTTTGAAAAGTGTCTTCAAAAGCAAGGAGGCGGAGATCAACCCCGCCAAACACAATTATCGTTTGACCGCCAAACCGGCGGGCTAAGCACATGGAAATACGATCCGCAAGTTGATCGTATGGAAATGGCACGATTAATAGCCATATTAGATCAACCACTAAGTTTTCCTGAACAAAGAAATTGACAACATTATATTAAAATTGTACATAATCCTAATGCACAATTTTTTTCTAGAACTACTCTTAGGAAAGATGCATTAAAATTATATAAACAAGAAAAGGAAGCATTAATCAACCTTCTACACTCTACAAGTGGTTGTGTTGCATTAACGGCAGATATTTGGCCCGCCGTTACCAATAAGGATTATTTAGCTGTAATCGGACATTATTATAAAGGTTTTGATTTGGATAAGAGAATCTTAGGTTTCAAATGTGTTATAGGATCACATACTGCCAATTTAATATATAACACAATTTTATCTGTTATTGATGAATATAGTTTAAGAGATAGAATAATGCACATAACATTAGATAATGCAACTGCAAATACTAAAGCAATAGAACACTTTTTGAAAATGATTTAAGTTTATTCGGTAATAATGATATATTTCACCAACGTTGTGCATGTCATATAATTAATTTAATAGTAAAGTCCGGTTTAAAATCAATGTCAGGTCATATTAAAAGAATTAGAGATAACATTGCTTGGATTCAAGGTAGTAATCAAAGAATACAAGATTGGTTTAGATTTCTACAAGCATGTAATCAAAATC